GGGTGGATATAGCTCACACCGAGGACCTATCCATGTCATCATTTACCCAGAATGCTTTGTGTGTAAATAAAATGGCTCCGTCCATGTTAAAATATATTTTTAAAAATTTACAAAACTAAACAGCCTACAGCATTTTTACAGTCTTTATTTTACAGTTAAAATACAGTAAATGTTTATCAAATAAAGTCTAATGTTACAACTAATCGGGGATCCCTTTAACCCCTCAGCTGATCCCCGGGCACTGTAATTGGTAGCCCACTGCTCCACATGTGTGTTTGCATGTGTGATGGGTAAAATGCAGAGAATTATTTTCCCCTCTGCGCAAGTAGGGGTCTCATAGTAACCTTGTTGGTATTTTTTTTATTAACCTTTATTGCAATTTCTCTGCAGAACGTGTTGTCCTGTGGGCGGAGACGGCACAAGAGATGTGATTGGTCGGATTGACGGTGGGGTTTGAGGAGGCTGGAGGCAGCGGGGAGTGGCTTGATCGAGTCGGGCAGGAGCAACATGTTTTTTAAGATTAATTTTAGTCATAACGTGAGAAAGGAAAGTGCTAGCTGCACGAAATTTGAACGTTGTACATGTGAAAGGATGTGTAACAGTATGGCTTGGTCAAAACATCCCTAACCAGCCTGTAAAAAGGTTGCTAAAAATCAATATTTTTTACAGACTGCTCCTGCCGGACTCAACCAAGCTACTCCACGATTAGGGCCGTCTCCGCCCACAAGACAACATGTTCTGCAGAGACCCTCTTCTCCCTCTGCAGGACAATAAAGGCTAATATAAAAAAATTAAGGTTACTATGAAAACGACATTGAAATCGTACAAATTCAGCAATCTCAAAAAGCAGATTCATAGATTAAACGTTTAAGAAAAATCTCACCTCTGATCCTAAAGGAAAGTTTAAAACAAATCAGTTTACAGCAGGTCATTTGTGACAATTTTTAACCAAGAAACTGTCTATATAATTGAATCTCAGGAGCAAATTCAGGGTCAGATTTCTGAATGGTTTGTTTTGTTTTTGGCAGCTCAGATGTCTGCTACACTTTGGTCCTATTTCATTGCTCTTCATTTCAGATGCCATGTTTTAGTTTAGCTGTCTTACTCATAGAAATTTGCTTGCACTGTAAAGTTTCTGGCCTTAGTGTAATGTTTTTTTTTATGTTCGCAGTCGCTGTACTTCTGCCTGCAACAAATTTCCCTTAGGGGACAGTAAAGTATCTTAATCTATTGTAACAGCTGATCTTACCCAGATGCTAAACTAGCTTAAAAACTTTTTTTATTGTGGCTTTAACATTCTAGCATGACACAAAGTGATCCTGAATTTTGCTCTTGAGGCTTTTTCAAAACACATTGTCTGTTTCTAAAAACGAGAGAGAGGCCATATGACCACACAATCACAACACTCGTCCTAAAAGCCAAATCAAGTCAAAAGAGCAATTAGAGAACAAAGGAGCAACAAGGTAACAGTGACGGTACACAAATAATTAAAAAAAGGAAACAAACAAAAGCACAGTGCAGGCACAAATCAAAAGAGTAAAGCAGAGAGTGAGGAAGGTAGAAATCAACCTACTGTCTGAGCCATTAGTCTGTAGTGTGGCATAGGAGTCAAAGAAGTACACACGAGGGAGAGTTTGAATATCTGATGCAGGAAAAAAAGAGAGAACAGGGAGGAAGGTCAGAGGGAAGGAAAGGAGAGGCCCACATGAGCAACAAGTTAGTGCAAAGGGAAAAAAGCAAACAGGTAGAAAACAAGATGGAGGAAAAAAATAAAAGCAAAAACAAATGAGAGTGAGGGAGAAGAAAAAAAAGAAGTTCAGCAAAGTTATTATATTTCCCACCAGAAAAATACTTAATGAATCACACTTGGCAAAATGACAATGAAAACATTTAAAAGAAAGTAAAACATAATTAATAATAAACCAATGAAAGTTTGAAAGATGACAGCGGTGACCTCACCCTCCTTCCACAGCTCCGACACGAAATGATCCGACGACTGATGGAGAAGAGACGCCACATTGTCATTCAGAGGATCCATGTTCTTCACCAACCAATCATCTGCCTTATAGTCCACCTGAGGAAGAGGGTGTAGAATAATGAAGGCAACAAGGTGGGAAGCAACAAATGAAAAGACGACTAGTGACAGATGGAATACCTTTCCAGCATAGTGAATAATAGAGAAGTCAGCTTCCCCACGTGGCTGCTTTGATTTGAAGAATTTGGGATGTTTGCTTTGCTCAGCAGATAGCTTCTCTACAAATGTGCGGTCTGTGGCCCGAGGGAACCAGCACTCTTCATCCAGCAGGGCCAGAACACCAGGTGGATGGGCCTGACAAGAAGAAACAAGATTTTTTTTACCCCTTAAAATTCAGATTCATTATCTATATTCTCATGACAGTTTGTTTTGGTGAGTGGTACATACCGGTCGTTCAATGAGGTCAATGCAAGGCTGCAGGTCCAGGCCGAAGTCAATGAAGTTCCACTCGATGCCCTCCCTCTGGTACTCCTCCTGCTCCAGGATGAACATGGTGTGGTTGAAAAGCTGCTGCAGCTTCTCGTTGGTGTAGTTGATGCACAGCTGCTCGAAGGAGTTCAGCTGCGGAGGAGAGAGTTAAGAAATGCAAACAATGATTCATTTAATGTAAACTCTTTGAACAGATGTATGGAATAAATTTTGTGCCAGCAGGAATTGAATTTGAATTGCTCAGACTGAAACTCCATTACGGTGGATTGCATCAACTCTGTTACATACAGAAGGGAAACTTCACCAAAGTGAAACATAAATCTGTGGATCTGTGTTTGATTACTCTGCCTGGCTTTCTCAAGGACCAGGATGTGACACAAAAATTTGAATTATGGAACTGAAAGTAGTCAAACTGAATTTTTAATAAACCAAAATACAGTTTCAAAGTTAATTAATTCAAATTCAAAACTTTAAATTCAGTTTAAATTTAGTGATATTTGTTTTCAAACCAATGCATTAAATTCAAATCAATTCCTGCTGGCACAAGATTTATCCCATACTGATGCATGTTTGTGTAACTAAATGAAGCCTGTCCATTAATACATAAAAAATAACAAATTCCCATTTGAAATGTCCTGCTTGATAAAATAATTACTATTTTATAACAAACTGAAAAATGCAGGAGCACACAGAGGTCCTCCAGCATCAGTTATATGGTCCTGGTCTTGCAGGGCCACCATCCTTCATGTTTTACAGGTTTCTCTGTTTTAACATACTTGATCTGAATAAAGGTCTTTAACATATTTCTGCAGAAAATGAAGAGGTAAACCAATCACTGAATCAGGTGTGTTGGAGCAGGGAAAAAGCAAAACAAGCAGCATAGGGCCAGGTTTTGACACCCATGGACAAAAGTGCTTGGCTCCATTAATTGTTGAATTCAGGTGTTTCAGTCAGGGTTTGGGATACGACGAATATTTCCAATGATGACGCCCCAACATAATAACTGATAATAACTGGTTTGGACTCTGGAGGTCTCTGACTGGTTCTGGCATGAAGTCTGCCCTGGATGTCACCGACTCCCTGCATCCCTCCCCATACCATAGGTTTTGATCCCCCACCACCCTCCCTTCCTTAGGTAACTGCACTCTCGCAGAGTAGTTTTTTTGAACGTATGCTTGTGCGTTTTCTGTATAAAACACAGGATCAAAGCTATTTTTTAACTCATCCTTCCTATGTTTATGTGTATTCTAAACTGTAAAGGTAGTGCACTACGCTGCAAAAGACCCTGGACATTCGTTCCCCCATGTTTGTCATATGTGTGTGTTTCTCCGGATGGATGTTCTAAACTGCAAATTCCTAGTCTGTGTTTATCACTGACAATGACAATAAAGCTCCTTTCTGATTCTGATTTAAACTAAAATAAGATTAAAAAAACAAGATTTATAAACAAAATGTCTAATCTTGCTTAAGATTCAAATAAATAAATTTGGCAATTTTTTTGCAGACATGTCCAATGTGGTCTTTTCAACAAAGTTTCTCGTCGATCCAGACCCCTAAAAAAACTTGCTGATGAAACTTGAATTATTTCTTCCAAAAAGTGGAAGCTGTTATAGCTGCACAAGCTGCATAGTCCCTGCAGGTGTGAGGGTCAGGTGTGGTCAGTTAATCAAGCAATAAAGACACAATCTCACCTGGAAGATCTCAAACCCAGCGATATCAAGGATGCCTATGAAAGAGGCTCCCTGTCTCTGTCTGCGGTCCAGGGCTCTGTTGATCCTGTGAACCAGCCATCTGAACAGACGTTCATATGTCGCCTTCGCCAACGCCTCTATGGCAAAGTCAGCCTAGAAGACGAGATATACGGTTAATAACTACACCAAAAATGCTCGTTTGTCTGAATGGACACAAACGCCTTTAAATAAATCCTACTTGTTCTTTGGTCTGGGCCTTCTGCACGTACTCTCTCCCCACTTTGATCCTGGGTGTGAGGATGGCGCGGGTGAACTCCAGCACGTTGATGCCCAGCAGGTGGCACAGTTTCTGAGCAGCTGTGTTATCGGGCATGGAGGCCTGGTCGTGGTTCTTCTCCTTCATGAAGGATATGTTTCCAAACTGGAGCACGGCTGAGATCACCTTCAGCATGGCTGAGGCGAAATCGGGACCAGAGAGGAAGCAGAGGTTATTTACAGCCAGAATCACTGCGTCGACATGTTTTTTCTTTCCTCCTCGCTCTTACACACTGATTCCTCAGGGGTGAAGCCCATTATGCCCATGGAGTCCATAGTCTGGGTGAAATTCTCTGAATCACTCTGACCAGGAACGGGAACAGAGCCTCTAGTGAGGAAACGATACTCATCAGCGCTTCCAAGAAGTAAGTCCGCTATGAAAGATAAAAGAACGTTTAAATACAAAATAAATCTTTCATCATTTTTCATCTAAGGTGCCATTTGAATACTTACCTCTAGTTTCCTCTGAAGCACCACATAACATCTGATAAAAGATGTGAAAGGTCCTCTCATCTTTGGCCTGACGGATGGCTCTGGACTTTTCAAGGAGGTCTGAATTTTTATGGTTATGAAAACTAACAGATAAACTTAAAGTGCCAGTGACATCAAATTTTTGTAATAAACACAAATGCATTTTTGGGAAGATAACATTGATAACATATTGCAAAAGAAATTTCACGTCGCTGAGATGAACAGTTGCTCAGATATTTGCATGTGAAGAAAAAGGAAGTGATGTCAAAGGGGAATGTTTGCATGTAAACAGAGCGTTGTTGCAAAAGCTAACAACACAGACTGTAGAGAAGAATCTGATGTTTATTTAGATTATTATTAGTCACTATCAAAGAGAGACAAAGAAAAGTTAAAGTTTAAATAATGTTGTTTTAATAAACAAAAACCAGAGAGTTTATTTTATTAATGAGGTCCACTTTGATGTCACTTCCTGTTTCACTTTAGCTGAGACAAATTTAAAAGAAAACAGGCATGTTATGCGACAAAATGGGTAAAATCATTTGTACTATACCAATTTATTAAGTATAAAGATGTTTTCTTTGACTTTTTACATTTGAAGGATAGGCATGTCACAGGCATTTTAACATATAACCAAAAAACATGTATGCCTTTAAAAATACACATATAATCAGATATCTCTATGTACAGGCTTTGATAGTGTTCAAGTTAATTAAAACAACAGGTTTTAGAAGGGCTTCTGAACAATCAAAAGACAAAGAGACAAAAAAAAAAATCAATGTTACAAGCAAAGCACAAAAGGATACAGGTCTCTATGTTGGCACCAACAATATATCCTGCCACGTCAAAATTAATGCGGATGAATTTACCCTGAAATAAATAAATAAATAAAGAGTTTAAACAGTTTAAACTACTCACAGCTCTCAATATGTGTCTTTAATGGTATGTTTCTCTTACAAATCTGGACGAGTTGTCGTTTTTAACGGTCTTTGCATTGCCAAAGGCCTCCAGGATGGGGTTGGCCTGCAGCAGCTGTCTCTCCAGCTCACCCTGAAACCACAGGAAAGTCCAATTACTTTCAGATTATAACAGAGGGGAAAAAAAGCTACAATCATAAGGAAAACATCAAACCAAAATTTAATGTTTTCACCACTGATATAAAATGGTAAAGGCACAAAAATGCACAACTCATTGCCGAGAAGCAATGAGACAGCGTGATGCATTTTATGGCAAAAAGCAGATTGAAGCAATCATTTTCAGACTGAAAGACACAACTACTGCATTCATCATACCGAACTTATTAAAATATTTTACGATTTATTACATTTTTATTCAAACTGTAGACCTGTTTTCTTTACTAAAAGACATATAAACAGGGTTGCACATAAGCGGTGTGAAGGTGCGCATGCGCGATCAAAAAAAGAAAAAGCGCACCAGATGGAACGTTTTAAAGCTCATACAGCTATATTTTAATTTGCACTTTATCAAATTAATTTTTTAGTTTATTTTTAAACATTTTGAACGTATTTTAAAGAAACGTTGTTACTGTTATTGTCAGCAATATAAAGAGCAGCTTCTGGTTCTACCATGCAAAAGTTTAAAAAGGCTATATTTTCATTTGCACTTTATCAAATTTATTTTCATTTGAAACATTTACATTGAACATTTTGAATGTATTTATTTTATGATCACAATTTTATTTATTGAATTGCCAATTTTTGTTATTGTTTGTTAAAATATATATATATATAATTTTGTGTTGATAAGCCTGAGTGATCTGTTGACTGAACGTTGTATTTGTTCAAATAATTATGGGCAGGAATCATGTCTTGTGATTATTTGACAGGAGTTTTACTTTTAAACTGTAAGTGTATTTAATTTAGTTATAATTCAAACACAATTCAAATTAAACCAAGATTTAGAATAATTATCATTTTGATACGTACATTAGTTATGTCTGACTGGGCCTCGTGTCACTTTATGTTCAACAAATTGGGCCCTGAGGTAAAAAAGGTTAAGAACCGCTGATCTAAACTATCTTCAACAGGTCAGCCTTGTCTAATAGAAACCTAAAAATAGTCTTGTGAAATGAGACACATTTTCCTGTTTCTCCTATAGATCCATAACACACACAGCTTTCTGTCATTTTTATATACATTATATACATAGCTTATATACACTCATATATTAATATTATCATTAATCAGCCATTATTATTGATTATGTTTGCAGTATGTACAATGATGTTAATGTAGATGCCTGGTCTGGTTAGCGCCGCAGCTGCTGCAGTAGATCACAAGTGGTCAAGACTCACTCCTCTGTTTAAAAAAAACTCTTTAGCTGCAATGCATTACTGCAGTTGTCGTGTTGCCAGCGCAGCAGATGTCGATGCAGCAAAAGATGGACACTAACAAAGCCTTGATGCAAAAATGCTTCTAAGTTAAAAAAGAACAGGCAAAGATAAGCCTGTCAGTCAACAATGAGGGCAGACAAACACAGAAACAAAGGGGTGAGCAGTTTTATGATGACAAAACACAAAGCAGCTGAAGCCAAACCATGAAATATGTTTATTTCACTCCTCACCCATTCACACTCCCTTTTTCTTAGCAGGCATCCTTCAAAGTTTAACATATTTCTGCGGCTTTCACAAAAGAAATCGACTCTTAACCCACAGAACCAGAACAATAAAATAAAAAGGGAGAACTAGACCCAGAGAATACCAAGAGCTTTTCAGATAAAAGTCAAAAAGCGAAGGAAAACACATCAAGGACATGATGCTTATATTTTAGAGGAATTATTGAACTAAAGGATGTTGTTTCTCATATGTAAACTTTCTAAATACTTTTATACTCACATATTGTAAACTCTGGCGAGTTGTTGGAACAAATGAAGTTTTTGATGGGAGGGTTTACGGATAAGTGAAGGTATGAGTGGGATGAAAAAAGAAGACAAATAAGAAAACAACAAACAACAATAACAAAGTATTACAACATGTAAATGTTAAATATACAGCACAAAAGTTAATGAGGAGCACCATCATTAGACAGTTAGTCGGGCTCATTGTGGGGTTCAGGAAGTAGAAAATAGGACAGAAAACAGAGAAAACAGGGCAGCAGAACAGAGATAACTCACTTTATTCACCAGAGTGCTGCCTCTCGTTAAAGACCTCGAACCATCCATCTGAAGAGGACGGTGCAGGAGGTAGAAAAGGAAGGAAGTCGAAAGAATGGTAAGAAATAAAAAGGAAACATAGAATAAGGAAAAACAGAGGAACCCCACTTAGAGCTAAATATTTACAGTAGAAAGCTCAAATTGGAAATGAGCATTAGTCAGAACTGAAACATGACTGCACTAAAGAAAAAAAAAGTTTTTTAGAGAACTATCTTCACCTTCTTTACAGCAGAGCCTTATGATGGATTCTTAGAGTTATACATTTTGTTTAACGCTTGTCACATAAAAATCACAGAACAAAACTCGATCCAAAAAAAGGAATTAATCTAACATCTTTAAGGGAATCCTTGATTAGCTGTAACATTAGACTTTATTTGATAAACATTTATTTTAACTGTAAAATAAAGACTGTCAAAATACTGTAGGATGTTTAGTTTTTATCATTTTTAAACTAATTTTTTAAAATATATTTTAACACGGACGGAGCCATTTTATTTACACGCACAGCGTTTTGGGTAAATGATGACGTGTCGATAGGTCATTTAAAGTAAACTGGAGCACACTGACAGAGAGGAGAAGGTAGAAATGACTCAGCCTGAAATGGAAATGATAATGGAGGACAACAGAGCTGCTTCATGGAAGAAGAACCCCAGCTTAGCCTATTAGCCTCTGCGCTAGCGCCAACGCTATAACCATATAGGTTTTTTTCTGCAAATACCAGTGTGTCACTTTTAGAGATATAATATGAAGTTTTGTTTTTTTCTTCTTCTGTCCTTATAGTATGTGGTATTTTGTTTTTCTTTTTTAAGGGTAGCGCCTCCTCATGATGTCCTTTCACGATGATGATCCTTGCTCTGTGCAGGGGTCTATGGCTGCAAGACCTGGGGGCACCTGTTCTCCTATGTTTGTTTATGTTCTGTCATTTCGAAAATGGGTGTTTTGAACTGTAATTTCCCCTTGGGATGAATAAAGTATCATTCATTCATTCATTCATTCATTAATTCATTCATTCATTCATTCTTTCATATAAATGTATTAGCTCAGCGCTACACATTCTCCTCTCATCACTGAGGTCCTCCATCCAATGACAGAGAGGG